CTTTGAAGAAAATTGTTTTAAATATAATGCTGTAAGAAGATCCTTGAAACCTGGTTCAATACCAACTAAGCTTTCAAGTAGAACAAAAAGTTTTTTTGTATCTGGGTATATATCATTAGTTTTTATTTAAAATTAAAAATTACATAATAAGTAAAACACATTTTTTATTCAGATCATTTTGTAACTTGTCAAGTGCCAATTCAATGGAAGTAAAACTTGATGATCAAGACGCTTCAACTTCAACTAATATCGAAGTTTCCAGTACTGAAGTGTGGAATGCTCAAGTATCCAGTTGTGAAGCGTTCAATACAGAAATGACTGAAGATTCTTWTACAATTACTCCCAAAAGAAAACGAAGGACGTATTATATTGGTGATATAAAATCTCCTGACTTATGTACTCCCCGCAGAGCTAAAGTTCATAGTATATGATCTAAGGTGTGCACCGGTAATTATCAAATAAAATCTCAGTTATCGCTTTGAAACCATGGAGAACACGTGTGCGATGAATGACAACAATATTTCTGAAAAAGAATTTCTTTTACAATTTATCTCCATATATCGTGATGACGCGGGCCCGCGTAATAGCCGTTTGAATTCAAACGGCCTTTGCGCGGCAAACCGCGCAATTACTTCTCTTTTCAACCGCCAATCGAMGACGGACGACACCGACACGCGATAAGCGCGCCTGGAACGGTCGATCCGCCGAGACTCCGAACCGGTCGACAGTAGAGTGAGTTCTCTGACCGACACTGAACGACACGCGCTCCTCATCACCCCGCTATTTTGATTTTCGTGTTGATCATTTTCTGGCGGTTGTATTTGTATTTTCAACCACCACAATAAAAAAATCATTATACCGCGAACTGTTTGTTTTTCTTTTCACCACTTCCTACACTAGTGACACCACTGACTCACGCGGTATCCGTCCAGGACCGCCACAAAATTGGCTCCCCGGCGGGGAATCGAACCCCGGTCTCCCGCGTGACAGGCGGGGATACTTACCACTATACTACCGAGGACAGTGACATGGCGATGCTTTGGAGAATAAAATCAAAGGAGTACATGGATAAACACAAAAGAATCAATGCAATTAAAAAACTGACGGAATTATTGAAAGTATCTCGATGGAACATCACTGAAGATGTTAAAAAAAAAATATATATTCTACGAACAACTTTCAAGCGTGAAAATAATAAAGTGAAAAAATCGATGGTTTCTGGATCTGGTACTGATGAAGTGTATGTACCTTCATTATGGTACTACAAAGAACTTGAATTTCTGMAAGACCAAATGGAGGAAGAATCTGGAATTAGCTCAATAACAGAACAAATGGTAAATAGAAGATGTTAATTTAATTTTAATTCTTACAGTATACAGTTACCCAAGGCTGGGCAAGTTAACTATTTTTTTAAACTCATTAAGTTAAGTTAATATAGAAAAAAGTAAGCTAAGTTTAAAGTTAAAAGTTACCTCTATTTTTTTTAACTTGCAAAAGTTACAA